ATCGCGTTGGCAGCACATCTCCTTCACAGCCCTTCCTTCTAGCCTAAGGATCGTGTCACACCTTACCGAGGCGGATGTGCCGATGCTCAAGTCGGTCAGCATCAAGGAGCCCTTCGGATACGGGGATTATGACATCCGATGGGATTCATTCGGCTTCCTTCGCGCGCCGCAAATCTGCTCCTTGGATTTTGAGGGAGGCAGTTTCAGCCCCTTGGAATTACCGCTTCCCTGGAGTGGTTTAGTACACCTCTCGTTCACGAAACCACGGCCCACTCCCACTGACGGCTTCCTGACGAGCGAAACGGCCTTGGAGATTCTCTCCCGTTGCCCTCAACTGCGGAGTTGCGGCCTATACATTCAGGACCCTGACGATATCGTCAGCAGCGGGCTCGAAGACCCCATTCTCGAACTCTCGTTTCTTCATACATTCGATCTAGCCTATGGCACCGTTCAGGCCGCCAGCCGCCTGTTCGGCTGGGTCTCTTTTCCACACTTGCGGAACTTAAAACTTCGCGGAAGGTCGGATGACGAAAACATGCCCTATGTCCGCTTTCTCGCCACTGCTCCACTCATCGAAAAGCTCGACATCACTGATGAACAGCTCTCAAAATTGTTTCTCGCTAGTTTCCTTCGCGAGCTACCGCCTACCCTTCGCGAACTCAACATCAGCAAAGACTTCTCAAGCTACTACGAGAATCCGAGTTTCGATGACGAGATTTTAGATTCCTTCATCCCGTCAGTCGACTTCCCCTCTCCATGTTGCCCGGGCCTCCAGGCGTTGGAGATCCGATACTCCTGCGCCATTTCCGACAAAGCACTCCTACGCTTCCTAAAATCAAGGACTCTAAAGCGCGTTGTAATCTGCTTTGACCGGGTCATGGAGCTTGATATCCGCCCGGAACTGCAGTCATTGGTGCAGAATGGCCTTCATCTCGAACTTGCATACCATCCGCCTATGCAATCTTTTTCTCCTTGGGAGGGTCTACCGGATGCGTGGAACTTCTTTCTCGCTCCCTGAATGCCTACATTGACATAAAGGTACATTCAATGAATCTTGTGTTCAGAAATTTACGACTGACTGTCCTTGCAAGGCTTCTCACTGGAATTATCTTTTCTTTTTCCTACCAAACCTGCTGTCTGGCTGTAGTTTTATGCACACAATGCTGATATTATGACATGGTGTTAGGTCGCAGGTGGAACAACTGGATGGCTGCAAAGGGGAAAATGCAGAACCCTACGCACCCAACGTAAGTCGAGAGATGGCTCCGCGCAGTCTCGGCGCCACATGCGCACACAGCTATTACTTGTAACTCTCTAATCCTTCCATTGCATTAGAACAGTGGGTTGAAGAGGAACCCCAGGCGGCTCAATGCGCGGAAGTCCCACAAGCCGAACGAACGCTGTAACGTCGAGTGACGAGTCGCGCCGTCGTGCACTACAGGTGAGGGGTGGGATCGCAGCGTCCACACCGACGCACGCCCGCGTCCTCCCCGCTTCCTCTCCGTCCTGGCTTTTTTGTGTTTTTACCTTCACACCACGCCGCAATGCGCTTCGTCTGGCGTCCCCAGCTCCCGAAAACGCGCGTACCCAGCACAGGCGTGCACCACAATACAGGTGACCTGCATGTTAGATTCTGATTTGTGTTCGCCTTGCCACTGCTCGCCAAGGATGGGCAGAGGGCTCGAGGCAGAGTGAGCTCGAGGTCCTAACCCCCGCGAGCCCTGCGAGCCGCACATAAGCCATAAAGAAGTGGCGCGGCGCACAGACGACGCCGACACTCCCCCGACCCTGTGCTCGCAAGGGAAGAAGAGTAGTCGGCGTGCGAGAGAGACTATGGCACCAACCCTCCCGCCCGCCCGCAAGCACTCGTCCCGCACCTGAGACGTCTGCCCCTCATGCGATGACATCCGCTGGCCGCCCGCACGCTGACACTTGCCGATACGCCGCTCAAGAACCGCCCACGGACGCATCCGTATCTGTGCAGGTGCGGCTGATGGGCGGGCCACGCGTCCGCGGGCGCTCGCAACCGCCCCTCGCACGTACCCGCCAGCAGCTCATCTCACCCCGCCTCCTCGTTCGCAATCACCCGCCCGCCCCCGCCCCTCCCCCCTCACGAACCCCGCGCATCCTCTCCCCGCCCCACGCCCCACGCATCCTCTCCGCGGCCGCCCACCGCAAGCGGAAACGGGCGGGGTGCTGTGCGGCGAGTATGCTCCGCCTCCTGCGGGCGGTCTTCTCTGGCGTCGGGCGGGCCATTTGATCAAGGTGGCGTCGAGGATGCTGTTTCTCCTGCGTGCGGCGTACGCCCCCTGGGTGAGATGCACATGTATGCGACTGCAGCATGAAACGTACACGCCTCCGCCCCGCTTATACTCCTCCTCTCGCGCGCGCAGGGAGCAGGAATCGAGGCGGCGCAAGGACGCTCACGGGGGGTGACAATCGACGAGGTGGTGCTGCGAAGGACATCCCTCCTGCGTGCGGCTGTTCGGGGCGGGGCGGTGCGGAACGGGACGTTCCTCTTGCGGGGAGAGTCGGGCGGGGGGCGTGCGCCTGGCGGGCGGGACGGGACTCCTGCACGCGCACGGAGAGCGGGGATACGCAGGCGCGGGAATACGACCGGTGCATACGGATGGGTGGAGCGCGTGAGAGGTCGATGGTAGGTAGGGACATGACTCGCGGCGTGCGGGGCAAGGCCCCCTGCCTGCTCGTGGCACGAGACGCCCTCAAGGCCATTGGTGGCGTGCATGAACTGAAGCTGGGCAGACAGAGGGAGGACAGCGACACCTAGAGTGGTGTACGTATCCGGGAAAAGCGAGGGAGAGGCCGAAGATATGGATATTGATGTCTTGGAGGCACGCGTGGCGCAAGTCGACTCGTCCTCCGACTTCGCCCACCCTGAACGGGGTATACCGCCTGCCTCGCCGGTGATGAGGTACTCGTGCTTGGGTACTAATGCGCTGAGCTGAGCGCAGCGGGGAGCGAGGTAATGCGCAGAATTGGAAGTGCGGAGGATGTGCACGGAGGACAGGGCCCAGATCGTGGAGAGGAGGACCAGGTTGTAGCTTGTAATGCGTAACCAAATCAGTCAGCAAAGCATAGACGAAGGGGAAAATGAAGATAAGGATGGGGACGAAAGAAGAGGAACGGAGACGCACCAGGAATAAAGCCAGAAGCAAGAGCACGCGCCCCCGACAGGCCGAAGCTCGTAAGTGTAAATTGCACGCGCATGAGGATCGAGTGGCCGCCGTACGCGCCCCTTCGGTAAAAGCGTCCGTGGCCCGTATGTGCCATGTATAGGTAGACTGCGCCCGCCATTCCTGTCCGTCGAAGCCGAAGCCGAGCACGAGGTGAAAGGCGCTCGCGGGCTTTCTTCTTGCCGAGGCGCCGGCAGCTACTCGCGTCGGTGTCGCAGCTCGACGAGCTCGACGAGCTCACGGGCTTAGACTGCCGTGATCCTTCAGTGGAGCAGCATGGGTTATGGCGATGCGCGTCGGGGAAGCACTCCCCCAAATCATTCAGCATCATCGGCGGGATGAGCAATGCAGAGGGCTACGGAGGCCAGCGTTCGACATGAATACGGGTTCATGGATCGGAATCCGGGGTCAAGTTGCTTGTGCGTCACGTGCGTGTCCACTCGCGTCTTTCCCTGTCTCTCCCGTCATCTCAACGTTGGAACTTGACTCACCTCCTGCCAATGCTTGTCCCCGCGCATTGTCTTCCGTGCTTCAGCCTCTGCATAATCCTAGTGACTCTAGACGATAGGTATTCTGCCCTGCCGGTTTCTTGTACAACTTCGTTTTCGCGCCTCCATCGCCTCCTGGATTTCGCGGTGTCCCGCTTGCCCGGTGCATCCTCGTGTTTTTCAGGCTGGCCGAATTAGAACGGAACGACATTGATTTCGTTTCTCTGGCGCAAGATACTCTCGCGACTTCTCAACACGAAAGCCACATCCATCCATCCAGGATCCGACCTCCTCATCTACGCAACAAATCTCTTGCCCCAGCATCTGAATTAGCCCGTGTCTTCAAGTGTATGCAAATATTCGCGCCTCACAAGCCCGCGTAAATTTCTCAGGTTGATTATCTGCTCTCAATTCAGCTGATATGAAGCTTCCGGGCCCGACCCCTGCGCGGAGGTTCTGCAGGGTATTCCTCCATAATACGAAGGAATGCTCTGGCAGGAATGGTAACACCGAAGCAAGGCCAGGCCATACCCATTTTCTTCAATTTTCTCTCTCGTTCTTTGTGCCGTTCGCAAAACTCACGAGCGTACGTAGTTAGTGTTAGGGAGGTTAAAAGGAATGGCCTAGTGGTGTAATTGTTACATACCTGCTTTACATTCCACAGCATAACTAGTTGGTTGTCCGTCACGTGCGCGTTCATTCTTGCCTCCGCCGGTCATCTTCTATAGTTGGACGTTTGAACCTTGGACTCACTTCATGCCAGTATTTGTCCCCGTATTTTGTCGTCCGCCACTCTTCAATGTATGACGAATCCTAGTGACTCCAGGCGACAGTATTCTGCCCTGCCGGTTTCTTGTACAACTTCGTTTTCGCGCCTTCATCGCCTCCTGGATTTCGCGGTCTCCCGCTTGCCCGGTGCATCCTCGTGTTTTCCAGGCTGGCCGAATTAGAACGGAACGACATTGTTTTCATTTCTCTGGCGCAACATACTCTCGCGACTTCTCAACACCAAAGCCACATCCATCCATCCAGGACCCGACCTCCTCATCTACGCAACAAGTCTCTTACCCCAGGATCTGAATCCACCCCCGTCTTCAAGTGTATTCAAATATTCGCGCCTCACAAGCCCTGCTCTCACTTCAGCCGGTCATAAAGCTTCCGGGTCCCGACTGCCCCTGCGCGGAGGTTCTGCTGGGGTATTCTTCCACGAATGGTCTAGGACACTGAATAAAGACCACGCCATTTCCATTTTCTTCAATTTTTTTCTTTGTGCCGTGCAGAAATCACACTTAGTCAGAGTTAGGGAGGTCAAAGGAATGGCTTGGTGGTGCAATGGTAACATACCTACTTCATATACCAGAGGGCTCTTGTCTTCAGTAGGGGATCCTTGTTCAATTCAAGGCCAAGCCATGTTCTTTTTCTTGAGGTTGTTGACAGATCGCAGAAGTAATAGATCTAATCAGTCCGAAGAGGGCTTGCCAATGGACTGATGGTGTAATAGTAATACACCTGACTACTATGGTCAAAGTATACCATTGGTTTATAGGGAGATCCTTGTTCGATTCAGGGCCAGGCCATATTTCTCTCTCTTCAAGTTCTTTTTCTTTTGCATTGTTCTCAGAAATCCTGTACGTACCCGGTCAGTTAGGAGACCATGAGAAGGGTCTGTTGGTGTAATGGTAACATGCCTGGGTTCTATGCAAGAATTCGATAAAACCCTCTTGTTCGATTCAAGGCCAGGCCATTTGGTAATATTTTCTTTCTTCCTCCACCGGACGTGTAGCCTTCCATTCCCTAGGTCTACTTTCTTTTTCTCGCATACGTTTCCTTTCACTGCTTCAATTGATATACTTAACGGCGAGCAACGTTTTTTTTTTTTGTTGAACTTCAAACGAAGGAGGCACGTGCTTCGGATTCAACCGGATCCGGTAACGCCCGACTCTCTCTTGCTTTTTCCGCCTCGACCTCTCGCTTTTATTGTCTGTCTGCGGCGGCGTATCTGGCTATGGCTCTTTCCTGAAGACATCAGCACGAGTCCTCACGAGACTTCGCCCTTCGCCCCGGCTGCCCGAGTCGGACTGCCGCCTGCTGATTTCCGCAGCATCGTGCGAGTTCTGCGCCCTCACGCTCGCAGACAGCAGTCTAAGTTTGGAGCTCGAGACGACGCGCTTCCCCTTATCGAGCTTCGATTGTGCTCCTGAGTTCAGGTGTGAAGCGAAGCACTCCGCAGACTCGGCCCGAATTACCTTTCCCGTGGATCTGCGCGAGTCATGCGCGCGCTGGCCCTCCCTCTTTTTGTCCGCGCTACATATTTCCAGGCGGCGCAATAAAATTAGTAGCCACTTCCGAGACTCCGCAGACTCAAGCTGCCCTCATCAAGTCTCATTCGGGAGTACGAACTCCTTACCGATTGCGTCGCACGCGGACTCTACTCCACGTTGCAATATCTCTTGCGTTCTGTCCCCTCGGGCTGCCCAAGCCCCGCCTCCCATATCAAGCGCGTCGAACGCAGACGGTTCATCTTCCTGGGATCGGATTGTAAGCTGCGCGTTCCGTCTCTCGTACTGTTCGTATTTCGTGTTTCGCGCAAGTTTCGCGTCTCTACATCTTGAATTTTGAATTCAATTCTTTACTAAGTGACCCTTCGATCCATCTGTCTACGTCTTCGTACCCCTGCAGCTTTGTGCCTCCACGACGTCCAGGCGGCGCGCTAAAATCGGCAGGCTTGACTTGCAGGGTCAAGTAATACTGGTTGATGCTGCTCTCGTCAAGGCCTTTTCTGGGATCTCCATCCTCAGGTGGAGCACATACAGCTCGCTCTACCGTCTACCCCTCTTTCGTAATCGGGTCGATTCCCTGCCCAGGCCCTTCGAAATCTTTCCTCTGCCGGATCAGTCATTGAATTCACGTCGCATAATTAAAAAGGAATTATTTGCTCTTCATCGAATTCATGCCAATGGGCCTTCTGAGGACAGATTCTGCTACTCAAGACCACTGATATAATCTTTCCCATGTCCCCAATTCAGCTTCTGGTAGATCAATCCGGCAACCCCCCCCCCATTAGTGCCGAATCGGCGCGCATGATCAATTCACATGGCCGTGTGTGTGCGACACGCACCACAACTCTCATGTCGTCTCCGTTCACCTCGAAGCTAGGGACCAATTACTGTCCCCAGGATGAGGAGATAGCGCAGATCCAAACTCTCCTTGTGGAACCCACCTTTCGATTAAAGTGTCTTGACGATGAAATCGCCGCTTTGCAGAAGGCGCTCGATAAACTGGCAGAGGAGCGTGCTGGGATCTGTGCCGACGTGGACGCCCACAAGGCACTCATTTCGCCAGTTCGAAGACTTCCGCTCGACGTTATCAAGGAGATCTTTGTAGCCTGCCTTCCAACCCACCGCAACTGCGTCATGAGCGCTGTGGAAGCGCCGGTGCTCCTTGGGCGCATATGCAGCTCTTGGCGATCCATATCTCTCTCGACACCCCACCTGTGGTCGAGGCTTCACATCGTGGAGCCTCCCTGCTCATATAACTCCGCTGCCGCATTCAAAGAGAAGGCGGCGCAACGACTTGAGATCACCAAGATGTGGCTCGGTCGTTCCGGCCGATGCCCCTTGTCCATATCACTACTATGCCCGTTTGACTCCTTCACCTCACCGACCCAAAACCCTCTCATTCGGGACCTACTCCCATTCACATCGCGTTGGGAGCACATCAGCTTCACGGCCATGTTTTCCAGTCTAATGACTATGATCCACCTTACGCCGGCAGACCTGCCGATGCTCAAGTCGGTCACCATCAAGGAGCTCCATGAACCCATTGATGCCCCTGGCCGATACAACTCGACGGGCTTCCTTCACGGCCCAAAAATCTCCTCGTTTAACTTCGAGGGAAGCAGTTTCAGCCCTCTGGAATTGCCGCTTCGATGGGGTAGTTTGACGGACCTTTCGATCGCAGAAAAATGGGGCTCTGAACCACCTTTTATGACGAACGAAATGACACTGCAGGTGCTCTCTCGTTGCCCTCAGCTGCGGACTTGCCGCATACTCGTTTGTGATCCTCCCGGCACCTTGAACAGCAGCAGAATCGGAGAGCCCGTTCTCGAGCTCTCGTTCCTTCATACACTTGATCTAGACTGCGACACCTTTACGGCAGCCGCCTACTGCCTCTTCGGCCGGTTCTCGTTACCACAATTGCGGAATTTAAAACTTCGCGGAATGTCTGATACTGCCGACACGCCCTATACCCTCTTACTCACCACTAGGCATATCGAAAAGCTCGACGTCACTATTGAGCTCTTCCCAAAACCATTCCTAGCGAGTTTCCTTCGCGAGCTACCACCTACCCTTCGCGAACTCAAGATCAGCAAGTTCCTAGAAAGCCGCCGCAATGTGACTTTCGATGACGAGATTTTGGACTCCTTCAGCCCATCTGCCGACATCCCCACTCCCTGTTGCCCCGGCCTCCGGGAGTTGGAAATGGAGTACTCGTGCAGTGCTTCCGACAAAGCACTCTTACGTTTCATCAGATCGCGGGCCCTAACGCGTGTTGTAATCCGCTTTGACCGGGTTATGGAGCTCGATATTTGCCCGGAACTAGAGCCTTTGGTGAAGAATGGGCTTCATTTCGCGCTCACATATCATGCGTCTAGGGTGTCTTTTTCCCCTTGGATAGGCCTAGGGGATGCGCCGAATTTCTTGCAAGCTCCTAAGTGCCTGTGCCTTATCCCGTATTCGTATAAAGGTATATTGAACCAATCCCGCGTACGGAAACTTGGCATTGACTATCTTTGCAAGGCTTTCAGATCTGGTTCCCGTTTTCAGTTTCCACCAAACACGGTGCTTGGTTGTAGTCTCGCGTAGACGGTGGTAATATTATACCATTTGGTGCGAGGCTCCCAAAACAATGCGTATGAACACGCACTGGGTCGAATTAATCGGAATCGCTGCATATGTGATGTCGCTGGAAGTGCAAACTTTCCATGACATCGTGTAAATTTTCATTCCCAGACTGTGCCGTTGATCATTCTTCGTCCCAAGTTTCCTCTCTGACGCGCACAGGCTCTCTCTCTCTGATCGAGTTGGGGCACCCGTTGGGACTCAAACTTAATTATGAAGACTTTATTGGTCTCCAAGGTCAGTTGTTATGTTGTAACAATCCAGCATTGAACATACATCGAACTACATAGTAAGAATCAAGAAAGACTCATCGGCGCGGACCTTCGGATCGATACACTCCTCCCATCGCGTTCCATGGACAAACTGACTAAAATCCAATTTCGTTGTGCCCTCCAAAGAGATGACAAGTGAATTTTGAGGAAAGTATAGACCGTTGCGGAGCCACGGCGGGATCCAAAGGATGGGATGAGACACCGAGTTCAATATCCAGCCATCTTCGAACGTCGAACCATCTCCGAACGGTTGGTGCGGAGTGCGGTGGGGGTTGATCTGTTCAGAGATCAGACTTAAGTCAGTGTGGTTACCATCGACAACAGGTGCAATACAAACCTCAAAGACGCGAATTGTATTATCCCGAGAGCCAGAGGCGACCCGTTCGCCATCCGGAGAGAAAACGACGGAGAGAACGGATGCACTGTGCCCTTCAAATGGGCCAGCGGCACATAGCCCGACTTGTGCATCCCACACACGCACGGTTTTATCATGGGACCCAGACGCGATCCATTTCCCGTCCGGAGAGAAAGCGACGGAGTAGACAATCCTAGCGTGCCCTCGAAGCAGCACAGGAAGGGAGGACCCAGTTTGTGCATCCCACATGCGTACCATTGAGTCCGCTGAACCTGATACGACCCACCTACCATTGGGTGAAGAAACGACCGAGTTAAACTGCCCAACATGCTCCTTGAATGGTCCACTGACAAGTGCACCCGTTTGAGCATCCCATACCTGGATCATACCGCCATTGAACCAATTTTTGGACCCTGTCACAATGTGTTCCCGGCCAGGTGAGGAAGCGAAAAAGATGTCGTCCACCTCTTCACTACCTTCAACAAATGGTCCACCGACAAGAACACCTGTTTGTGCATTCCGTACCTGGATCATGCCTGTTTCGGAGCATGACACAATGTGTTTCCCGTCAAGAGAGAAGGAGAGGGAATCCACAGGTTCACTGTGTTCAAATGGACCAGCAATGAGAGTGCCCATTTGTGCATCCCAAACACGCACTGTTCTGTCGTTAGAACCAGAAATAATGTGTTCCCCTGAGGGTGAGAAAGCGAGAGAAAGCACCCGATCGGTGTGTCCCATGAATGGCCCAGCAATAAGGATACCTGTCTGCGAATCCCATACCCGGATCGTTTTGTCATCCGACCCTGACACAATGTGTTGCCCGTTTGGCGAGAACATGACACAATTGACCTTATCACTGTGTCCTGTTTGCCTGGCATCGGAGCCTGGCCCAATGAACTCCCTCTTATCTTTGGGTGCTACGTGCGCATCCCAGATGCGAACAGTGTGGTCCAGGGAGCCTGACACAATTCGTCCACCATCAGGTGAGAAACAGACAGAAATGATACCATGGCTGTGTCCTTCAAATGGGCTGGCAGCGAGAACACCTGTTTGGGCATCCCAAATGCGCACTGTTCTGTCGCCACCAGAGACAATGTGCTCCCCATCGGGTGAGAAAGCGACGGAAGTAACCCAATTTGTGTGGCCTGTGAATGGCCCAGCAATGAGGTCACCAGTGCGTGCATCCCATACCCGGATTGTTTTATCATCAGACCCT